TTGTTATCGCTTTATTCTAGAGTAGTTCTATCAATTCCCGTCAAAAAAGGGTACCCTATCTTTTTTGTGAACGGTGCCTTTAAGCGCCGGAACCCACTTTGAATTCCTAATCAACTTTACAAGAGTGGTTTGAAGAGTAAGCTCCGACAGCGCGGTCTCCTTTTCACCATTACCTAGCCTTAGTTAGCCTGATAACATTGAAGTAACTGAGCAAGCACGTATATTTCTTTCAGATCTGTCTCAGCCGACACTTCTACCTCAGGCAACGCGTGGATGATCTTTTGGCATCATTTTTTGGACGGAATCCGTCTATAACACTGGAACTTGCACCTGACAATGGAGAAAATGCCACAATGCATATCACACCAGAATTGAGTAGCTCGCACAGGTAAGCCTTCTCTACGGTCTGATGGTAGAAGTGAAAAAGGTGGGGTGACCTATCCCGGCTGGAGTACTGTAGGGAAACAGCGATCTGCGACCACCGTATAACATAGCGATTAATAGCTAGATGTCTCGGAATATATGAATTCAATTACTTAGGGGTATGAGTACATTCACCCAGAACTGGATGGACGCGGTAAACCACGCGGCGAAATTCATGGTTATTGAAACGGCTTTTAACGCCTATCGTTGGGGCACGGGTTTCAAGTAGACCGGATAAGTAGGGCCATCTGATGCTACTTATCTATTCCACTTCAAATTTCTGCCACAATGATCGACGCCAGAGTCGTTTTCACCATGAATTTCGCCGCGCGCTTTGCCGCATCCATCCAGTTCTGGGTGAACGTTCCGTCCCCCATTACTTAGCTGTGTCGTCCCGTACAGGGATGACACCAGTCACCTTAGCACCTCTGGCAATCCATCATTCAAAGGAACATATAGGGAAAATACAACCAGGACGCTAAGTTACACTATTTGTTCTTGTTCGGCATGAGCCCTGCATTAGGCTTCCATGCAGAATCGTAACCGTATTTGGATGGGTGTTTCTCTCACACAACGACCTCAGGTGTCCAGCGATGTTCGAATTAGTGCTTTGACTCTCCCAGACAAATTTGGTATAGATCAAGGGACCCTGAAGAGATAGAGGGCTTGGTTGGCCTGAGCGGTATCAATCCCACATCACATTCAATCCCATACGTTTGCCACTGCACCACTTCCGCTCCTTCAAGGTCTCACTGATGAAGCTAAAATATTTTCTTATGTATTTCAGCAGATATTTAATTTTTGCATTTAGTTTTCGATCAGAACATGATCGTCGGGTAGATTTTCACGTTGCTCCTGATCGGCATGCCGAAATATTGGCGACATTTTGGGATCGACAAGAGGACCATCGAGGAGCGTTGTAAAAAGAATTTCATTGCAAATCTATTCGTTATTGTCTGTGTTACTTTGAATAAAATGTATCATGAAGCAGTTGAAAACGAAAGTATCGTCCTCAGGCCAAAACCAACTGTCTTCTGAACACTCAAATGTAAAGGCTCCGATTTTTCAAAGCTGAACTGACCATAAAACAAGAAGGAGAGAAGAAATAAATATCGATTTACAAGAAAGTGTTAACAAAACATTTTTCTTCGTTTAGGGCAAAATATCGCTCAACTGTTTTGCTTTTTTTCAGAAGTCTTCCCAATTCATCAGATGAATTCAAGGAATTCAATCTAGAAGTACCGATAAACGCTTAATTCACCCAACTCTGAAGCAAATTGAGATCCCCTTTTCCACATTTCAAATGGATAACCTTACTTTTTCCTTGATCTCCAAGTTCCGAAGCAACTGTGGGCAGAGAATCGCATGCAATCGATCCCATCGGAGACATCCCCATGACATACATTGGGGCACAACCTAAAAGCCAATTTTTTGTTGTATAAATGGTGGTCTCAATAAAAACATAATTTAAGGTGAAAAACAAAGTATTAAAGTTACGGTAGTCGAACAGATTCACAAGAGAGAAATCAATCAATTAATCAATCAATCAATGTCCGATAAATCCTACTCTACCAACCAGCTACCAGTCTCGACTCCTCATTCCCCCAGGAACATTCTCGAACCAGGGGAATTCGTACCCATCGGAATTCACTTGGTACAACTCAATGATAAATTTTGGGAACTAATTCGGAAAATTAGGAAAATATTTCGGTTTCGTAGGGTCTTTAACTAGACCCCCAGGAACTGTACCTCTAATACCTCAGTAGATACAGGACATTTTCAAAGAGTGAAAAAAGAAAAAAGAAAAGATGTAAAAGATGAAAGAAGGAACGACAAAGAAATGCAAAGTAGAGAAGCAAGGAGAAGAAGCTTTAGGTGGTCTCGAATCGTTGGTGGTGACAGCACTCTGTCACCCACTAATCAATTCAAGATCTTGATCTACACAAGATCAAAACCTAGTTAGCTGTCCAACCTATAAACCATTGAGCAGTTAACTAAGATGAAGTTATCACCCGATTGCTCCTTCTTTTTGAGTGCTGTCGGATGCGCCATGTATCCGACGTCCTAGGGGAATCCTAGTGTGGGACGTGAAGTTCCACCCACCTTACAAGATGTCTGACTTTACGCTCAGTCTTGGAATGATGGATAACCGTCGGATGTATATCCTGAAAGCCGGGGAGCTTCACTAGGACAATTCTGCGTTCAACTTTTGTGAATTTTTTCGAATATCCCGTTTCCAGCTTCACAGAAGTATTCAATTCAGATAGATTCGTAACAGATAAGCTCCCGCACAGAGGACTTCTGGAAGGACAATCCATGCTCTAGCAGCCTGGGGCTGACCACCGCCCACTAACCCCTTATCTCGAAGCAG